TCGGAGGAAAAATAGCGACGCGGCTGCGGGACGGGTAGGTGAGAAAGAACGGAGCGGAAGGACGGTACAGCGCGGAGCGGAACGCTCTGTCCGCTCTGTCGCAGTGCCGTATATTCCGTCGCCGGTGCGGTCGTACACGCGACGCCACTTTAACCCGGAGTCGTCCCAACCCCCTTTACCCCGCGCCGACCCCTGCGTCCCACTCTTTCGCTTTCTGTCGCTCAAGTAAACTATAGACGCGGACCTACGGACCAGTGTATTTCGGTACGGAGGCACTAGACCCCGGTGGATGATGTTTTCCTCCTCGCATTCCCATTCTTCGTCCTGCTTCGCCTTCCCGGTTCCCGGTAGTGGAGGGGAAAGAGACGGACAGATGGCGAAATAGAAGAAGAACGAGAGCGAGAGAGCGCGCGCGCGCGAGAGAGAAAGAGGGAGAGGGCGAGGGTGGGAGGGAGAGACCTCGTTTTCATCTTCTTCTTGTTCTTCATTCTCGCCTCAGACTTCCCCCTCGAAGGGGGGAACGAATGATAGTGATTCCCGTGCCAAGAGCTACTCGTTCGGGCCAAGCACAACTTGGCCAAGGCACAATCGAGTGAAAGTCGCGTCGCGTCTTTCGCCAAGGGGGGTGGCTTTCGGAGCGCGCGTAAAATAGAGAAGGGAGAAAAGGGGAAAGGTAAAAAAAAAAACACTTAACTCGAGCGGAGTGAAAGTCGGAGAAGCGGTAGGAAATAAGGACAAATTGACTGTTCCCGGATGGATGGAACGAAGAATTCACTTCGGTGCGGATTGCGCGGCACGGAGAATAGCGACGGTGAGAGTACGGTGACTGAGTGCTGATCTTAGATTGTGGACGGGATGAGACTTACGAGGAGCAGACGGTCGCTACTCGGGGCTGCATTACGAGATAAATGTTCGCGCGGTAGGTAAGTCGCGAACGAGTGATAAGCCGATAAGCAGGGCGATTAATCGCATCGTGACGATTGTGGTCGGAGGTGCGACTGAATTGGTCGTTTCGGAAGGAACGATAATAACGCTGGCGCCAAACGATCGCAATTATTCACCAGCAATAATTCATTTATTGAAAGCGCGGTACTTAAACTCTTCCATTCATTAAGAGACGCTATCGATGCCTCGGTATCTTCCGCGGATTAAATTCTTCAATGTAACCAAGTTTAGTGTTAATCGTAGCACATCTACGCCCGACTGCGGCGCCGATTAATATCTCGTAACGCCACGATATCGCCCCGTAACGGATGTCAAGGTTCACGATTGTAGCGATATAATCGGTCAAATCATCCGCAGGATCGTCAAGCGGTCAAACGCGCTTGACAATCATTTACTTTAACCGATCGATCAAACTGATTTCCAACTTCGTTAACCCACCATAATAGATATATTGCGCATACCGCAATATATGTATATACGTCATGTATAATTAGACGTAGTTTTAAATCGACGTGCATCGAGTGGCGGCGCGGCGTAACGAGCGCACGGGTCAGCTAGAGGGAGCGTCCTTTCGCCCTGGTCCCAGAACTGTTCAATTTCCGCACGTTGATTGAAATGAAATAATCATTATTGTTCCATGATCATCTACGATACGTGGTTCCATCGCGCGCCGCAACGCGCCCTGGTATTTATAATGACATTGTTTCCAAACGTACGAATTTCCATAACTGGTAATTCGATTGTCGCGGTATAACCGCGTTTACAATTTACGCGGGGAATAACATTTCCCCGTTCACAGCGAGCACTGTGACTAACTGTCCGACGAAAGGAAAAGCGAGGAAGCGCAAAAAGGGGAGAAAGTTGACCGGCGCGAGAGAAGCGCGCGATTTTCCGAACGCGAGCGCACGGGACGAGCAAGTGACTCGTTCGATCTTTCCCACCTCGATAATCGTATCGCGCCGATAATGATCGATATGGACGCGCCGCTCCATCTGAAACGTAATTGCATCGTCGATAACGCACTGCCGCCCCCGCGCTTTAATGTTTACTTTCCGGCGAGCGGGACGGTAGCCCGAAGGGGCACCCGTGAACCGTCTGCGCGTAATGAAGGAATTTATGACGCGAATTGCTCGATGAAAATATATTGCTATCGCCTCGCGGCGGTCGGAGATGCCCCTCCGCTCTTTCTCCGTCTTTCGCGTCGATGTACCCTTTTTTCCACCCCCGCGTTTTAATCGACATAAATTCTAATTACCTCGCCGCGCAATGCGTTTCCGCGAAATCCCTTGGATTCCATTTGTTGTACGAGTTGTTACACGCTCTCGCGGTACGTTGCTCGCCAACTAATTCGCGCCACCGACGCTGCAGTATCGCCGTCGTTGTCATAACAGGGTATTGTTTCACACGACCAATTTAACAGTCGTCGCACGTGTTCACAGCAAGGAGGCTTCGTTTCTAAGAATGTTATTTTGCGGACGACGACGACGACAACGGCCAGCTTGTGACGCCCGGGTGTCGTCAGTCTGACAGAATTAAGCGCCGCGCATTTACGGCTATGTCACAGATACAATGGGACGACACCCGGATGCCCCAGGATCCTGGCGAGGTCGACACAAATGACGATCGGCCCGGTTGATCCGAGTTAATCTCTCAAATGTCAGCAGCTGTCCGAGCATAAACTTGATCTAAAGCCTTGTGTCCACGATCCAAGAACTGTGTCCAAGTTCTAG